TGAAAAAAATGAAATGACTCCAGTTTTGGGATCCAAAACTAAGGTGCTAGACATTAAAGATACTTAGCCCTTAGTAAGTGATGCTGTGCACCTCCCTGGATATAAGTGAAATCTGACCAGATGTGCTGTATACTTGATGAACATCGAACGTGCTAAGTGACCTAGAAATTTTATTAGTTAAGGATGTTCATTTGCATATCTTTAAACCAACATGCAGAAGAGCAACTTAAGATTGTATTAATATTACCACTGTGTTTACAAATACTGACAGTGAAGGCTATGAGCCAGAATAATTTCCAGTTTTACTTTGCTGACTTACCAAATTACCCCAGGGATGAATTTAGCCTAATGGACATAGTCTGTCTAGAAGTTGATGTAGTTTTAACGAGACAATAGCACAGAAACACTTATGCAAATAGCACACCACTCAAACAATATATATTCCTAATTATTAAGGGGGAAAAAATCAAAACAATAGTTGTACTGCCATATCACATTTGTAACAATGTTAAACAATTTTCCTTGCCTATTCATCCAGTTAAACCTAATTGTGTCCATGTTCCTGTGACCAAAATATTCTCAGTAAGACTGTGTGTTATATAGTAAAACAAATGGAGAGAATATATCCCACAGAGAGAACTTAGCCTTTTATTTTACTCAGCCATAATACAAAGTAACCTACAGGCCTGTATCATATAACAAACTGGCTTCAGCAAGTTCATACGTAGGCCCACCACATCTAGCATAGATAAAATAGCCCAGCAATTACCCTAGATTTTGGGGAACTGGCAATAGGTTGTTCAACAGAGGGAGTTGGTATAGAACAATACCACACAACTGCAGGAACACTGAACTGGTATTGGACTTGAATGTTTTAGGATAGCATCACTGGTGATTGTTTAACCACAAACTTTTTTTAACAATAGGTGATGTATATTATAATGAGCTAAAAGGCTTAATTTTTTAACCTATTGGTTAAGTGTACCCCTCTATTTTGTGGATGAGGAAAAATTTGGACATGGAACACTGGGGACATTTGAATGACTAGGCTGAGCCACTATGTAGCAAGAGTTAGGTTTCTATCATTGACCATTTAGCTCTCCATTTTTATCTACCACCAAACCTCTGAGTGTTAGGATTCTGATCCATCACACTTATTTGACAAGCCAGGGACAGGGCTCTTCCTTTATCTTTCACCACCAGGTCCCCAAGGAAGGATGTAAGCATGGATGTAGAGAGCATATACAAGGAATGAGATATCCCTAATACTGTGTCACTGCTATTTGTTTATGTGGTTTGGAGCGTTTTTGTCCTCCCTGATTTTTTTTCCAGTGGCTAAGGCTTTGTCTGGCCCCAAGTGTGAGTGTCTTTTCTGTACATCCTGGTGTTCCCTACGAGATACTGAACTGGTTAATTTTAATTCTGTGCAGCCTGACTCTAGAATGAGAACCTATTACCAGATGCTCATTACATCATCATCAATTGGCAATCGATACAATTACACTTGAACCCCTTTAATCCAGCAACCTTGGAAAATAGGGTATGATGGATTATGGAATATTCTGGACCATGGGTGTTTGTCATAATGAAGGGTGTTAGGGAATGGGGGTACAGGATCTGGGACGGTGGGAGGGAACAGGAGGGGTATGAGGGCATAGGGTCTAGGCAGGAGGGGGATAGGTACAGAGTGTTTATCTGCCACCCCGCCTCCTGGGGCATACCAGTCTACATGTCCCCCGCTGCTTCCAAGCCCTGCCTTCTGCCTCTATGGAACAGCAGAGGAAAAGCCTGCAGACTAGTATTGTCCTTTGCTGTACTGCCATTCCCCCAATTGGGGGGTATGGGAAGTAGCAGCACACAGAGCTGCTTCCTCAACCCCCTGCCAGGGTGTTCATGGATCAGGGAAACCCAGATTATGGTGGTTCAAGTGTATTAACCATTTAAAAAGCATCAGGCAACAAAAGAGAAAAAGAGCACAGACAGACATCAAGAATAGTCAAGAGCAACAATCATTAAACGAAGCACTGGAACATCTGTTCTCTCCGCAGTATCCTCCTTTGTTATAACAAGAAAGCAACCCACAACATAAAGAGGTTTAATTCTACAGAGATGACACATACCTCAAGTGCAGAGCATGTCTACAAAACTAATGGGAAACAAAACCATCCTTTCATCCATTCACTCAAACTGCTCAACTGGCTAGGCATGAAATCTATTGTACATTAGACCTAAAATATACAGTGAAAGCAAACCTCCCCACAAAAGCCACCAGCACCAAAACACCCCTAACTCACAGATAAGTCAACAAGTCAGGACACAAAACACAAAAACGTGCAAGATGAACTGGGCTAAAACTCTGTCTCTTAGAATTAAGCCATTGAGCAGGCTAGGTGACAAACATAAGGCTCCCTAGCATACTAGGATACTGCATTTGCTCATTTAAGTGCTGTAAACTTACAATCCTGTCATAGTGGCTAAAAACAATGACAGTATGCTTAAAAAGTAACTCACAAGTGTTCTGATAAGAAGTATCTGAATAGAAACAGCAATGATAATTTTGTTAACTTCTGGACATTTATTGTCTGGATATAAAAGTATATCTTAAAAAAGACAAGAGTTTAATATAGGCACCATAATCATCTCCCAAACAGGATTCAGGATTTCTCCATAGCTAGTATTTCCCCAACTTTTGCAAATTTTTTTAATGGATTACAGGAATTTTATTTCATTTCCAAAAATCTGTCTACCACACTCTTAGTTTCCATCAGCAGATGGCCAATTAGTTCTCTTAAATAATCTGTTAGGAAAGCACATTATTTTATATGCAGGAAATTATTATGAAAAAGTTAATATAATAGCTGTGTATTCAAGCTGTTAGTGGCATTTTAATTCCTGTTGAATCCAATTAGTTTTCTACCCAGTAAATAAGCCCCCTAAACATTCTTCCACATCCCTAAAACCTGCTGCCATGCCTACCAAGTTATTAGTGCTTCATTATGCTCTTTTCTGCCAATATAGACTATTAACTTGTGAAAAGAATGCTTCAGGCCTTCATATGGTGAAAAATTCTACAGAATAAGAGTGACATTCTGATTTTAAATATCAGAGGGGTAGCCGTGTTAGTCTGAATCTGCAAAAGCGGTGAGGAGTCCTGTGGCACCTTATAGATTGGCCAAAGTGTTGGAGCATAAGCTTTCAGATCTGACGAAGTGGGTCTTTGCCCACGAAAGCTTATGCTCCAACACTTTGGCCAGTCTATAAGGTGCCACAGGACTCCTCACCGATTCTGATTTTAGTTATAGTCTATTATGAATCCAAGGCAACTCCTCTGATCTTTGCAGTGTGATTCTGGATTAAAGTTCAGCAAAAAATTGATTTCACTTCAGAGATAGAACTATAGAATCCAGTGGGAGGGGAAGAAGGGAAATCCAGTTTTATTTCAATAGGAACCAATTTAATTTTTTAAACTAAAAATTATGGTTTAGAAACAGCCACCATTTCAGGTCAAGTAGAAACAAAAATATTCAGTTTTTGAAAGAAGGGACAAAAGTGCTTCAGAGATTTCCTGCAAAAACTGTACCAGAGAGCTCCCACAACCAATCTTCTTCATTAGCCACTGATAAATGCCATGCAGCAGAATTGTTTTTGTTCCATGTAAGAGAAATGCTCTTTTTAAAACAAAGGAAGGGTATAACACCACATAGCAAACATCAAATACTCTTAACAAGAAACACTGATACTTTTTTCTTGGAAAACATGCTGAGACTATTGAATGTCTAGTGTGGTACTCTGGTCATGAAACTTAAAAGAAGATGGAATGGAATGAAGACATTAGGGAAGCCTGGTGATCGTTTGGCTTGTGTTAGGTCAACACTCTTTGTAAAAACAAAAAGTTAATATGTACTGTTTGACTCACTAGTAGGAGGGTTCCTCCTCCTGGTCACTCTCAGAAATAGCTCATAAGGTTAGTGCTCTTTCCAATGGTTGAGGCCATCACTTCTCCTCCATCTCTGGGTCTGCAGCTACTCTCAGTCTCTAAGCTACAGCCTCCACTTTGTTACTTGACCCTCTGGCCAGATGATCCTGCTTGTTTCCCTGCCCCTTTCTCCAGGTTTAAGCTACAGCCATCCCTGAGCTTGTTCTCTGCTAGAGACCTTTCTGCCTTTCCCTTTCTGCCATTTCTCTCCCGGAGTGACTGCTGCCTATTTCCCAGCAAACACCTGCTACCTTTATAAATCTAGCCCATTTTCTTCATCTTCAGTGAGACTCCCTCACCTATGGGATTATTTAGCAATTTGAGTCCCTTCTGTTCCAGTGGGCCAGTTTAATTAGCCCCCTTCTCGATTTGCATTAACCCTTTCCAGCCAAGTGTGGGGTAAACACTCCATTCACAGTAGGGTATTTAAATTTATTCATCTTCTCTTTAATCTCAGTTATATTTACCTACAAAAACATTTGCAACAATCTGAAACACAAATCCACACACTTTTTCAGACATCATCTTTAAAAGGCTTTTGTGCCATATGAAAAATAAACTCCTCCAGTTTGGAAGCTTGTTTTGTCTTGCAATCAATTCATCAACAATGTATGAACATTCTCAGGTAATTCATACTTTGAAATCAATTGCAATGATTGCTAACATACTTAAGAGGAAATGTATCTTTGTGAAATAAGATTCTGGTATCTAATGTAGCAGCAGGCAATAATCGCCTTCCAATGCTAGATGAAGATAAAAATTACCAAAATAGTCATTGCAAGTAATGGTGCTAATAAATTTTCCCACACATTTGATTATGAAAAGCTCTGATACAACAAAATTATAATTCAACTAGATTTATTCAAGCAGTGAGCTTCAGTGGAAACCGAGATAGATATGGGTTTTCACAAGGCTTATTTTCAAATTATTTTCTTTTACGGAATAGACCAATAGATTTATTTACACAAAGTGTTGGTCAATGATTACGATAGTCACTACAAAATAGCCAGTACTTCAGACTTACTTATATGCTGGTCTTGCTTTTCAGATAAAAGATTACATACAGAAGAGTTTACAGGCAGGTTTGCTCTAAAAGGGGAAAAAAGATGTCATGTCAAAAATTAAAAAATATATATCTATAATCAAAATGTGCTGAAAATGAGCAGATTCATAAAACTGGAAACCTAGGTTCCTTCAAGTTACAGTAAATATAACAAGAAGGTATATACAAATGTAATATCTTTAGAGCATTCTGGACATCCAAAAGAATGTGTTAGGCTGGCATTATATATGTATTCAAAGGCCAGGACAGACCACAGTGATCACCTTGTCTGATCTCCTATACAATACAAGGTCATAGAATGCCCCCAAAATAATTCCAGAGCATTTCTTTTAGAAAAGTCATCCAATCTTTATTTAAAAATCACCAATGATTAGATTCCACTGTGAACCTTGGTAAGTTGATTCAATTGTTAATTATGCACTATTAAAAACGTATACCTTATTTGTAGTCTGCACATGTCTTGCTTCAAGTTCCAGGCATTGGATCATGTTATTAACCTATCAGAGAAAGAAAGATAACATCACCAATTGAAAAGGGGGGAATTTATTTATTTATTTATTGATGAAGTCCCATCTCACTGAGAAATGAGAACTAATCAGAACAGGATATTAAGCAAGAACAAGAAATCTCTGAGCAAGTTAAAATACTTAGCAAAGAATTTTTTTTAATTTAAAGATGAAATGTCAAGAGAATTTCTAATAGCTAAATATTTGGAATTAAAAAAAGAGAAATTTTCAGGTGCATTAAATACATCAGAATAATCTCACCAGAATGCCAATAATGGAAATTTTTACATTGTTAAAAGAAAGTAAAAGGAATTTGGTGAAGTTATTGGAACTTTATGATCAGTATGCTTATAGGGATGTAACATGCATAATAGTCTTTCACATAACGGGTATGTCTACACTCGCAGCTTCTTGCGCGAGTAATATGCAAAGGAGGTTAAGCGTGGAATATCGCCGAGGCTCATTTGCATACCTAATGAGCCACCATTTTTCTCAGAAGAGGCTCTTGTGCAAGAAGGATTTAATGAAATTTGAAGAACATCGGAACGGCCATACTGGGTCAGACCAAAGGTCCACGTAGCCCAGTATCCTGTCTGCCGACAGTAGCCTATACCAGATGCTCACAGGTAAACCTCATGTGATCCCTCCCCTGTTACCTACCTCCAGAGAAACAGAGGCTAGGGATACCATTCCTACCCATCCTGGCTAACAGCACTGATGGACCTAACCTCCATGAATCTATCTAGCTCTTTTTTGAATCCTGTTAAAGTTCTAGCCTTCACCACATCCTCTGACAAGGAGTTCCACAGATTGACTGTGCGCTGAGTGAAGAAAACCTTCCTTTTGTTTGTTTTAAACCTGTTGTCTATTAATTTCATTTGGTGACCCCTAGTTCTTATATTGTGGGAATAAGTAAATAACTTTTCCTTATTCACTTTTTCCATGCCAGTCATGATTTTATAGACCTCTATCATATCCCCTTAGTCTCCTCTTTTCTAAGATGCAAAGTCCAAGTCTTTTTAATCTCTCTTCATATAGGACCAGTTCCAAAACCCCTAATAATTTTTGTTGCCCTTTCTGAACCTCTTCCAATGCCAATATATCTAGCATGTATACGCTACGTGAAAGCCTGAAAATTAGTCCAAGGCAGACTCTGTTAATGTGGACTTAGAGCCCTAGGAAGCACTAAGGAAGTTAAAAGGTGATTCAATTTATATCGACCACATGATTAGTTGATAAAGGAAGGCACTCAGTACCGGCTTGTGCTGGTTCAGGAGTTACCCCTGCTGCAGCTCTACAGTTTAAATGTAGTAGGAGCTGCTGGGCTGTTGATAAAAGTCCCTGACTAGCACAAGCCAGTCATTTCATTTATAATGAGCTAATTGTTGTCCTGTACAAGCCCAGAAATGTTTCAACTGATTGAAACAGATATTTAAAATTATCTCTATTTTAATTAAGCTTTCTGATCCCTTAGGCTTAGGCAAAAATGAATGTACTAGAAGCAGGAAGTACTGATGACCAACATGCATTGGAACAATGCCTAAATGCTATGGTATTGCAATAAGATTGTACTAGGATCTTCAAAATAGGTTTATCTAAGGAATTTATATTATTTGACATGTTCTCAGTATATCTGAGGTCCAATACTGCACTGTGATAGGGGATGGAGGTGGATTGCCAGACATAAAGAAATGCAGGATCAGGGTCTAAGCTAATTTATGACAGGAAACATGTAGTGCAGTCTTGCTCTTTGAAACTGGGGACTTGGATTATGTGTCTGGATTATTCCATTTAAAAAGCTTGCAACCAAAATCTTTGGGTACATAGTAAAATGTGTGCCAATACTCTCGACATATGAAGTATGTGCAACAAATCTATGGGTGTGTCTGAGAATACTCCAGTGGCAATGCCTATGTAAATGTTCAATCTTCATCTACTCCATTTCTTTCAGCAGATTGTGTTATCTGTGCACATTCCAGAATAAGGGGTGGTGTAGAGTAACAGTAACTCTAGGCGGGGCAGGGGGATTTCTTCCTCAGGGGAGCATAGCCAAATTTCCTATTCACAAGGAGAATGCATTCACTGCTGCACCTTTTGAGGGATGTGTTATGTTCCCTCCTGCACATCAGTCCTGTCCTTGACCCAGAAATCAGAGTCCTAACCCTGCCTGCACATTGCCAGCTCCTTTCTTTGGTATAATTGTAGTACTGGGGCACAGGACAAGACTAGCCCATGCACACATTGCTACTCTTACAAGGACAGGGTTCCTTACATGGTTGTTTACTCAGTTCTGAAACACCAAACTTTGCATCAATGCATGCATATAAATCCTCCCCCTACTCCAGTGTTATCAGTTCTACAATGCTTTTTATCTAGATGAGGGAGTTATATGGAGAGTTTGGGCAGTGGATTCTCCCTGAATACAGTACTTCATGATTAACCAGAACATTTAAAAGAATTATCTATTTAAAGTACTTATGTAGGATAGAGACAAACAAGTGGGTTCTGCTAGCGCTCAATAGGAAAGAATTAAAAACCCCACTAGTGTACCATTCGACATGAAAGATTACTCCCTCCTAGCAACTGTGTGAAATATTGAGCCAGGACCATTTTAAAAGTGAGTTCCTGAAACTCCAGGTGTCTTTCATATCAAAGTCTATTAAAAAGAAAAGCAATCAGAAGAGGAACATTAGTATTTGGCTAAAATGCATCCAGATGACTAAAATACAAAAAGGAACAAATCTGTTTACCAGGAGCATTTTTTACTGTCTGAATACAACATAATCTTGATTAAATGAGTACTCAATTTAAATCACAGCAGGATGTCAAAAGATCAGGCACACAGACAGTGTTTGAAGGTTTTAAAGATCTGGGAGGGACAGCCCTCTAAGTGTGTTCAGAGAATGAAACAGTGATGCCTACTGTCACTGCAAGTAAAGTATTTTATTTCTGTTGGAGAAAACATACCTATTATTCAAATATACAGAATCTTACTTTTCTAAAAAATAAAAGTTGGTAATACATATGTGTTGGTGTTGTACGTACATAGTCACCTTAAAGAGGAAGCTCAATTGAAATGTTTTTCTCAGCTGATATGGCCTTAATCACCAACCAGCTTAGTACTAACAAGCTCTTGTCATTTATGGGTGTAAAGACTTCCTACTAAAGGCAGGTGTAGCAGGGCACCTTCTGCTCCTTGCCTTTTTGAGCCACAGAAACTTGCTCAGACTCCACTAGCTGGCTCTCCACATCATGCTGTTCATTTAGGATCCTTCCACTAACTGTGTGACAGTTTTGTTCAACAATACTATTTACAGCATCTTGTATCCTCAGGGTTCAAGAGAAGAGGAGGAGATCTTCTTTCCTAGAGAATGCTCTGCTCCTCTCCCTTGTCTTTTTTTTTTAAAAAACATCCTCAGCTGAAGGCTAATAAATCCCATAGTTCACACAGCTTGATACACCTCTGAAATCCAGCACTCTCTGGTTCAGTAACATCCATGGTCCAGTAGGACCAGGGATGCTTTGACCAAAGCATCCGGGAGCCTAAAGGCAGGAAGGCCAACAGCCTGGTCAGGGCTGGAGGAGCCCCATAGCAGTGCACCCGCAGCAGTACAGGGTTGGGGAACCTTAGCTGCCCATGCAGTGCAGGTTCGAAGAAGCCCGGCCACCTGCAGCAGCATAGAGCTGCAGAGCCCTAGCCACCTGCAGCAGTGGGAAGCCAGGGAAACCTAGCTCCAGTGACAGGTCCTTCTCCTTCCAGATCCAACCCATATTGAGCTGTGTTGTTCCCTTTTATACTGCTCCAGCCCTTGGAACACACTCAGTGTGGTCGGGAGGTGGGACTTCCGTCACCTACAGGGAGGGTTCCTCTACCCAGGGCAGGGTGTACACATCCCGTCACACAAAGGAAGAGATGCAGGGTAAGTTACTCTATTGCAGCCGGGGGTGGGCGGAGGGCCATGCAGAGTGGTAAGTAACAGCTGGGGGAAAGGGACAGCAGCAGTGCGGAGCAGTAAGCTGCTGTGTATAGCAGTGGGGTGGGAGTTGGGCAGGCATCATTGTGGGAAGTCATTCTTGCATCTGGAGGGAGGGGGAGAGTGACGCGGGGTGAACAGAAGTTATGTCTGCGAGCTGGCTAAGCCCTCTCTGGATCTGCATTATGTCAAACCAGAGCATTAATGTACACAGAGATATCAATAGAATCTTGCTGGGAAGATGGTGCCAAAACTTTTCCTGAGGTACTTAATTTTCTCATGGAGATTCTGTGGCAAGGTTGCCATTTCCCCACTGCTGTGCTATGACACTATCGGAAACATTTCCTCCAATTCTGCTGCCAGAAACAGCAGCACAGAGTTTGGCTGCATAAGGAGCAGGGCACCCTCCGCTCGCATCCCAAAGTAGAGCCTGATAAACTTTGGCAGGGATATATCAGCCAGCATAATGGCAGCCTGTGGACAAGTGTAGGATTATTACAAATTGTTTCCATGCACACCTCCTGCACAAGTGTGGACTGTACTTTCTTGGGGCCCCATTCTCCCACTTCCCCACCTTTAAAACTCACCATGATCAGTGTGTCTAGAGAGATCTGTGTTTGCCTGTAGGGTAACAAGGAAAGTGACCAGTATTGTTCAGAGACATGCATGTTAGTGAAATGTTACTATCTTTATGAGGAACAGTACAGTCACCCTCTTTTTCATGGTTACTTTTCTAAACCATACCTTGAAGTCAGGCACGTTCTCCCACAGACAGACTCTGTCATCTAAGGATACTACCTCAGAGAACACGAGAAGATCTAGTCAAGGATGTTTTATAGCATTCAACGCTACCAACAGAAAAATGAGGAAAGGAGGGCCATGGAGATGAAAGTCAGAACAGAAGCCACTGAGCGCATGCTAAAGCTGAGATGACCAAACTGAGATGCTGCCGTGTCTTATCAAGGTGTGGAGTGAACAGAATCAAAGGCC